AAATTAAATAGGGTAAGTATTATTTACGAATTTAAATGCCCATTAAGGAATTGTATTCCCGATCAATCAAAATTCGTAAATAATTATATAGGCCACACAACAACATGTTTGACAAGCAGACTCACTCTACGCCTTTCTGACAATAGCTCAATTAGATCTCATTTCTATTCGTAACATATTTGTTGATAACACAAATATAATAGCATCATCTATATGCAAAAAAAAAGGCTAAAAATAATGGAAGCCTTATTAATAAAAACAAAAAAAAAATAATAATATTAACTATGAATATGGACTTAATATATTGACTGTGTTTTGAAAAATGAAAACACTATATAAATACATACATGCAATAAACTATTTCTTATTTAAGAGTTAAAATACTTAAACTTGAAAATGGCTAAACGTATAGCCGAAAGCGCTCGGATAAAAGAACATTCGGACAGTTTTTATAGAATTTATCATCCGAAAAAAATATTAGATCGCATCAGAGATTGTAAAAAAAAAAACTAAATAAAAGCACTTTGGTTGTCGTATTCAATGAAATGTACATGAAAGAAGGATTGCTGCCTAAATACACAAATCTGTATATATATATATATATATATATATATATATATATATATATATATATATGTGTGTGTGTGTGTGTGTGTGTGTGTGTGTGTGTGTGTGTGTGTGTGTGTGTGTGTAACCTACCCAATGTGTGTGTGTGTGTATATGTGTGTCTGCATATATGTGTCTCAGTTTGGTCATATTATTCAATCTGTCTATCAGTTTGTTTAAATGTATCTATCTATCTATCTTTCTAAGTCTGTACATTCCCATTCTTTCTCTTTTCTAACGTAGGCTGTTCACATCTATCTATCTATCTATCTATCTATCTATCTATCTATATATATATATATATATATATATATATATATATATATATATATATATATATATATATATATATATATATATATATATATATATATATATATATATAATATGAATTATCTATCAGAGTTTATCTATCAACTCTATCTCTCTCTATCTATGTCATATGTTAGTCATATTATTCAATTTATCTATCTATCTATCTATCTATCTATCTATCTCATCCATTGATATCTATCTGTCTATCTAACTGTAGGTTGATCTATTTATCTATCTGTTCTATCTAACTGTCAGGTTTGTTCATTTTATTCAATCTATCTCTATCTATCAGCCAGTTTATTATTCATCTATCTATCTATCTATCTATTTATTCAAATCTATCTATCTATCTATCTATCTATTTTATCTATCTATCTATCTATCTATCTATCTATGCCTGTCTATTTATATTCATGTCTTATGTTGGTCATATTATTCAATCTATCATCTATCTTTGTTCAAATATCTCTATCTATCTATCTATCTCAGCCAGTTCATATCTATCTATCTATCTATCTATCTATCTATCTATCTATCTATCTATCTATCTATCTGTATGCCTGTCTATTTATATCTATGTCTTATGTTGGTCATATTATTCAATCTATCTATCAGTTTGTTCAAATCTATCTATCTATCTATCTATCTATCTATCTATCTATCTATCTCTAACGCCTTCGTGATTGCTCACATATTTACCGATTTCCTGTAGTCGGCCAAACCCTCACAATCCCGCCACATATGTGGGTGAGGAAGCCAGAAAGAACAGAAAACAAAAACATCGAAATCAAAAACATAAAACGACGGACAAATCTTCTTTCTTATTCACACAAGGAAATAAAAACATGTAGTAAATTCTGAAAAATAAGAAAGTCTTTATGAGGTGTCCTTACATTTTAGCCCGCCCCCTGGTGGAAAGAACTCACACTTACATTTAACGGCCGACAAACCAGTCGGCATCATTTCCAACCTTTTCATTCTTTCTCTTCAAATTTCTGCCTAAATACACACAACTCATACATGTCACGCCATCTTAAATTTCCTATTCTATGCCGGCATAAATAACTTACAATACAGAATGTTGACCCGCTTTCATATTGAAGACTTTTTCAGAATTTACGTGATCATCGTTCTCCACTACTTCCTATCTTTTGTTGTTCTAAATAAATTTTACAGAGGACTATCCCTGTCCCTCGTTAGAATGTCTGACGCTCAACTCCACGAGAGCACCTCTTTGCGACTGCTCGGTCTCACATTGTCTGCTGACCTGAGATGGAACGAATACGTTGAGTCAATAGCTTCGTCCACCGCAAGGAAAGTTGGCTCCCTGTGCCACGCCAGGAAATTTTTCTCGCAAGAGTCGATCCTTCAAATCTACAAATCAACCATTCGCCTTGCATGGAGTATTGCTGCCATATATGGTCTGGAGCCCCTTCTGTTTGTCTCAAGGTTCTTGATAAAACCCAGAGACGGATATGCAATGTAATCGATCTCTCACAGACGTGCCGTCGCCTCACTCTGTCTCTTTTACAAATACTTTCATGGTAACTCCTCCGATGAACTGCTTTCGCTGGTTCCCAGACTTCATGAATTTAAGCGGTCAACTAGGCTGGCATCTCGCTCTCACCCTTTCACTGTCGAAACTGTTAAATGTAGCCGTCTCTTCTACTCCAATAGCTTCATGTCTCGTATTCTTGCCTGTGGACCTCCCTCCCCTTTTCCCGTTTTCCTGATAGCTATAATCTCCAACTATTCAAATGTAATGTCAATCGACGTCTCCAGATGCCCGGATCTATCCCCTATCCTTCTCTTCATCCTTTCCTCTATCACTCCTCTTTGCTCTCGCTCCAAATCTCTGCAACCCCCTTGAGTGCTAGTGGCTTCCCGCCTTGCTTAGGGTGAAACGCTAAAAAAACAAAAAAACAAACTGTGTCTTACTCCTGGTCCTGCTATCGATTCAAACATAGTTAAATAGGTTATTCGCTATTTACTTCCTGTTACTCTTGTATGTCCCGTGGCTGTTAAATTCTATAAGACCTCTTTCCTCATGATATAATCCCATAAATTTCAACTGTATTTTTCTGATTGTATGTCCTATGAGTGTTAAATTCTCTTAGCCTTCTTTCTTATTATATTTAAATTTTCTAAGCCTTCTTCCTCGCGATATTTAAATTTTCTAAGCCTTCTTTCTTATGATATTTAAATTCTTTAAGCCTTCTTCCTCGTGATATTTAAATTCTTTAAGCCTTCTTTCTCATATTTAAATTTTCTAAGCCTTCTTCCTCATGATATTTAAATTATCTAAGCCTTCTTTCTCATGATATTTAAATTCTCTAAGCCTTCTTCCTCATTATATCTAAATTCTTTAAGCCTTTTTTCTCATGATATTTAAATTCTCTAAGCCTTCTTTCTCATGATATTTAAATTCTCTAAGCCTTCTTTTTCATTATATCTAAATTCTTTAAGCCTTCTTCCTCATGATATTTAAATTCTCTAAGCCTTCTTCCTCATTATATTTAAATTCTCTAAGCCTTCTTTCTCATTATATTTAAATTTTCTACGCCTTCTTTCTCATGATATTTAAATTCTCTAAGCCTTCTTCCTCATTATATTTAAATTCTCTAAGCCTTCTTCCTCATGATATTTAAATTATCTAAGCCTTCTTTCTCATTATATTTAAATTCTTTAAGCCTTCTTTCTCATTATATTTAAATTTTCTAAGCCTTCTTTCTCATTATATTTAAATTCTTTAAGCCTTCTTTCTCATTATATTTAAATTCTCTAAGCCTTCTTTCTCATGATATTTAAATTCTCTAAGCCTTCTTTCTCATTATATTTAAATTCTTTAAGCCTTCTTCCTCATGATATTTAAATTCTCTAAGCCTTCTTCGTCATAATATTTAAATTCTCTAAGCCTTCTTTCTCATTATATTTAAATTCTCTAAGCCTTCTTCCTCATGATATTTAAATTCTCTAAGCCGTCTTGCTCATGATATATGTGAGGATGAAGCGTTGGCGGCATTGAATGTTAAAAGCCAGTTCCTCTCTCGTTGAGCATTTAGAGCTCAATCAGGGCAAAGATCAGCTGGCAGGCTCTGGTTATCTAGATTTTTGGAGGTGCACTCATATTCCGTCGTATCCTTTGCAGATATATTTTCTAATCTCTTTATACTTTATACAAAGTCATCAAATTCTGCGAGTAAGAAATAAAATTGATGCAATAATCATTTATTAGAATTTACTTCAGGGAGCTTTTGAGATTTGTTATATCGACGGAAGATTTTGACTAAGCTTCCTTCGACGTGACATCTTAAATTAAACTAGTATAGAGCGTGACATCTAAAATTAAACTAGTATAGAGCGTGATACTAAAATTAAACTAGTATAGAGCGTGACATCTAAAATTAAACTAGTATAGAGCGTGACATCTAAAATTAAACTAGTATAGAGCGTGATACTAAAAATAAACTAGTATAGAGCGTGACATCTAAAATTAAACTAGTATAGAGCGTGATACTAAAATTAAACTAGTATAGATCGTGACACTAAAATTATTGTGGTGAAGGTGAAAATTGAAACACTAATCTATTTTTTCTCTTTGCCTCTACTTTTTAAACTCCGTTTTTTTCTTTCTTTCTTTCTTTCTTTCTTTCCTATTCTTTCTTTTATTATCTTCCTATCGATTACTTTATTTTTTCTTTTATTCCTTTCCCATTTTATATTTCTTTCTTTTTTTCTTTCTTTCTGTATTGCTTTATTTTTTTTATACCTTTCCCATTCTTTATTTCTTTTTTCGTTCTTTCTTTTTTTCCCATTCTTTCTTTTATTTTCTTTCTATCGATTACATTCTTTTTTCTTTTAGGCTTTTCCCTTTCTTTTTCTTTCTTTCTTTTTTCGTTAATTCTTTTTATCCGATTCTTTCTTTTATTCTCTTCCTTTCGATTACTTTTTCTTTTATTCTTTTCCCTTTTTTCTTTTTCTTTCTTTTATTTTCTTCTTATCGATTACTTTCTTTCTTTCTTTCTTTTTTTTTTTGCTCCCTTTTCTTTGTTTCATTTCTTTCTTTCTTTCTTTCGTAGTATTCCTTTCTTTCTTTTATTTATTTTTCTTACTTTAATTCTCTCCATTATTCCTCCTCTTTTTTTCTCCCTTTCATTTTCTCTTTCTTTCTTCTCTTGGTTTGTACAATTTCCAGTTGACAAACGTTCCTACCCAGTCTTGTTTATTTTCGTGATACTTTTAAAAGAATAATTTTATTTTCATTATTAATTTTCAATGAGGCTCGATCGGAAAAAAAATGCCGTCGACGTCGATCGATGTTGTAAGCTATTTATTATTTCACCATAGCCGCCACTAAATTGCTTTTAATATATAAATCGGCTTCTTAGAAGCCATAGCTATAGCAGCAGTCGAGAAGAGAAGGGGGTAAGAGAGAGAGAGAGAGAGAGAGAGAGAGAAAGACGTCATAAAATAGAATGGAAGAAAGTAAGCAAGCGGAAGTTAATCAATCGGAAGTTAAGAGCAATGATGGCGCCAATTATTTGATGAAATCAATCATTCTCAGTTTCCGCTGAATCAACTAAAATGATGATCTGTACAGATGTGTTAATTGGGCGCGCGAACGACGCCCTCTTCCTCCTCCTCCTCCTTCTCCTTCTCCTCATTAAAATCTTTGGCCAAACATCCACACTTTCTTTGCTTCTGGCCTATTATATCTTTTCTATTACTCCTCTCGTATTGTCTTCATTTATATCTCTTTTTCTTTGTTGCAATCAATATCTCTTTCTTTCTTTCTTTCTATTTCTTTCTTTTTTTCTATTTCTTTCTTTCATTCTTTCTTTCCCGTGCTTTCTATTTCTTTCTTTATTATTTCATTTCATTCTTTCTCTTTCTTTCTTTCTTTCTTTCTTTCTTTCTTTCCCGTGCTTTCTTTTCTTTCTTTATTATTTCATTTTTCTTTCTTTTCTTTCTTTCTTTCTTTTTTCTTTCTTTCTTTCTTTCTTTTCCGTGCTTTCTATTTCTTTCTTTCTTATTTCATTTCATTCTTTCTTTTCTTTCTTTCTTTCTTTCTTTCTTTTCTTCCTTTCTTTCTTTCTTTCTTTCCCGTGCTTTTATTTCTTTCTTTCTTATTTCATTTCATTTTTCTTTCTTTCTTTCTTTCTTTCTTTCTTTCTTTCTTTCCTGTGCTTTCTATTTCTTTCTTTTATTATTTCATTTCATTCTTTCTTTTCTTTTCTTTCTTTCTTTCTTTCTTTCTTTCTTTCTTTCTTTCTTTCCCGTGCTTTCTATTTCTTTCTTTCTTATTTCATTTCATTCTTTCTCTTTCTTTCTTTCTTTCTTTCTTTCTTTCTTTCTTTCTTTCTTTCTTTCCCGTGCTTTCTATTTCTTTCTTTATTATTTCATTTCATTCTTTCTCTTTCTTTCTTTCTTTCCCGTGCTTTCTATTTCTTTCATTCTTATTTCACTTCTTTCTTTCTTTCTTTCTTTCTTTCTTTCTTTCCCGTGCTTTCTATTTCTTTCTTTCTTATTTCATTTCATTTCTTTCTTTCTTTCTTTCTTTTTTTTTTTCCTTTCGTTTCTTTCTTTCTGTCTTATTTTCTTTCTTTCTTTCTTTTTTCCTTTGTTTTTCTACTTTCATAATCATTCAATTTGTTTTCTTTTTTTCATCTGTCTTCTTTCTTTCTACTTTTTTCTCTATTTTTTCTACATTCGTAATCTTTCCTCTCTTTCTTTCTTTCTTTCTTTCTTTCTTTCTTTTCTCTTTCTTTTTCTCACTGCTTTATTTTTTCTACCATCTTAATTATTCTGTTTCTTTCTTACATTTTTCCCCAATTGCATAATCCTTGCAGTTCTTTCTTTCTTTCCCATATCTTCTCTCTTTTTCGTTTTCTTCTTTGTTTTTTCTACTACCGTAATGTTTCCTTTCCCTTTCTTTCTTTCTTTCTTTCGTTTTTTTTTTCTATTTTCATATATCTTTCCGTCTGTGTCTTTCTTTGTCCTCATCCCGAGCGCTTTGTCATCTAACCTTCACTGGGCGCCAGTGACTTTATAGATAGCGGCTCGGGATAAGAAATCAGAGAACTCCAGTCAAGTTCGTTGCATTCACTTACACACAAATGCCCGTGGCTGTCAAGTTAGGACCGATAACATTACTCACCATTGTTTGGATTCTGTCACGAACATCGAAATATATAAGCGAAGCACCATATCAAATATGGCCGCGATACCCAATGCACGGACGAATGGCGGATTTGTAAATATGCAAGCAAGATTCTGATGATAAGAATAGTCTCGGACAAAAAATAACTCTATGTCAAAAAAAAAAAACCGCGAAATCAAGAAAGCATAACTCTCTCGGGGGTTAGCATCAGCCATGCTGATGGATGGTAAAAATGTTCTCTATGGCGATTAAATAATAGCCGTTTTGTTATAGAGGCTGTAAAATTTATGAGTCATTTCTTGCCCCAGTTAACAACAGACTCGAGGTCATTTTCGAGGGCCGCAGTCACGTTAACTTCGTCGAATCTAGCGAACTTACAATTAAACCGGAGTAAATAGATACGCCATCAGCATACATACATAGTTGCGAACTGATGACATCGGTAAGGTCGTTGATTACCAACGTTGGTTTAAGGTCAGGGCTCTAGGCGATCCTCGCTTTGATGTGAAAGTGTAGACTCTTCCACAACAAGGTAGTTAACTCCTGCTAGGAAATGCACAATTCCTCTTATAATTTTCACCATCACAATCTTACAAAATTATAACAAGTATTCATTGGTCAATCACCTTCAATCTAGCTTGCTGATTGGTCAGTTCCGACCAATCAAACCGCCTGCACGCGACCAATCTGTTTTCCCGCATTCTCCATTTGAGCCTGTCACGTGGTACACGACCATTATATAAACCCAACACGTGTAAACTCCCTCGAGTTTTCTTTCTATTCATCTCTCTCTCTCTCTCTCTCTCTCTCTCTCTCTCTCTCTCTCTCACGTCTCATTGCTACATTGTTTAAGTGCCAAGGTGTAATCTTCAAGAACTCCCGTCTTAACCATTGCGGTCAGACGTTAAAGACTATTACTAACTTTCACGGAAGTACGAACTCTGAAATCTCTTCTGAACTTATACCAACTTTACAACTCACAATTCCAAACTTTATTTTTCTAAATTTCAGTTTATTACTTCTTCTTAATATGAACTCAGGTACAACTAATATCTAATCAAAGGGACACGACTCTGTCGTACCTTTTCAGTTCGCATGCATGTACATCAAATATTAATAATTTCAATTGTTATGTTTTGAAATCATTCCGTTCAGTTTTGTATTTTATACTATGCGCTATTTACGTCAAATATAAATTGCATTGCGTTCACGCATTGTCCTTAATCCCACCTTTCCTAGCCAAAATTAAATATGGATAACACTATCACTACAACAATGGCAACCCCGTCGTTCGTCGTTCGATGTTCACAACAACAATGATAACACCGTCGCTACAAAAGGATCTACAGGGCCTTCACTACACGATTTGTTAAGAACGGTATCATTAAACCAAATATATGTCCAGAGGCCGTTGACCATGTTGACCATAGTCTATGAATATAGAATACAGCGCAGTACGTATTCTGTTCAATGAAACAACGTTAAAGATTAACACTCACGAGCCAGACACTCTACTGAATCTGACTATATAGCCAATACCACCAGCAGCTGTTCCGTAATTCTTCAGTCTTCGATATCAAAGGGGGGCAGTGAAATTTAGCCCCCCCCACACACACACACGAGGGTTACATGTGGCACAAGGCTGGGATTAACGTGGGATCTCCGAGCCCGTAGGCTCAGCCAAAAATATTCCCTATTTGAACGCGTATAAACGGGTTCAGGGGCAGTCAACCTCCCCAAACGAGACTCTGCCCTTCGACGGAGCCTCGTCCGGGTTATCAAAGGCTGGCAGTGATATTTAGCCCCCCCCCCACGAGGGTTACATGTGACACAAGGCCGGGATTAACGGCGGATCTCCGAGCCCGTAGGCTCGGCCAAAATATTCCCTATTCGAACGCGTAGGAACGGGTTCGGGGGTAATCCACCTACCCGAAAAGACTCTTCCCTTCGGCGAAACGTCATCCGGGTTAAAAGGCTGGCAGTGATATTTAGCCCCCCACGAGGGTTACATGTGACACAAGGCCGGGATTAACGTATGATCTCCGAGCCCGTAGGCTCGGCCAAAAATATTCCCTATTCGAACGCGTATAGACGGGTTTAGGGGTAGTCAAACTCACCGAACGAGACTCTGCCCTTCGGTGGAGCCTCGTCCGGTTTATCAAAGGCTGGCAGTGAATATTCGAGAAAAACATGACCGCTTTTATACACGTCGCATTGAATATTTTGAGCCTTCTGATTGGTTAACCCTTCTACTGGTGAACTATAAAATGAGTCAGCTCATTTTGGCTGGCTCACTAGTACACCAGGGTACCCAAAAATTCCAACAGAGGCCGTCTTTCCCCCATTGACGCCTTTCAGCTTGTGGGGAAGATCAGCATACTTTCATAGACTTTCACTAAGCATATGTTATTTCTCAAGTATATTTCTCTTGATTTTGGTTAAGCTTTTCAATTTAATGTCTTACTATGACAGAGACATCCATTAAAACAGATTTTGCGTTTTTTGTCTGGTCATTTTGGCGGGGGATTTGTCTCAGTTTCAATGTCCCAGGTGACCTGAGATGGAACAAATACATTGAGTCAATTGCTTCGTCCACCGCAAGGAAAGTTGGCTCCCTGTACCGCGCCAGGAAATTTTTCTCCCCGGAATCGATCCTCCAGATCTACAAATCAACAATTCGCCCTTGTATGGAGTATTTCTGCCATATATGGTCTGGTGCCCCTTCTTTTTGCCTCAGGGTTCATGATAATCTCCAGAGGCGGATATGCAATATAATTGGCCCTGTTCTGGCATCTCGTCTACAGTCGCTCTCCCACAGACGCGCCGTCGCCTCTCTCTGTCTGTTTTACAAATACTTTCATGGCAATTGCTCCGAGAAGCTGCATTCGCTGGTTCCCAGACTTCACGGTTCAAGCGCCC